AAATCACGCAAAGAAAGTATTGAAGCATAACCGAAGTTATTCTACGAGTTCAATTGATGAAGTAAGCGAACATACGATAAAAAAAATCACGCATACTCTTTTATTCATATTGCTCAACTATCATGTCTATTCTTTTCATTTTTTTTTTGCTTTAATAGTTGGATATATAACCTTCATACTTTATCAAAAATAGAGTTGCGTCAGTTTAGTTAGTTTTCAAATGTTACGATAAAATGTAAGAGAATTCGTTTTGATGAAATCTAACAATCAATTTTAAAATGGTTAACTTTAGTTACTCTAATGAACAATACAAATATGCACAATATTATATTTGATTTGTATGTCATATAAAGTGTTGACATGTTTATTATAAAAATGTTCGATAAAATACATGATGAACAAAATAGAAACTGCATAGCTATATATGCATATGTTGATAAAAACTATCATATATACATATATGTTATCTACTTAATACAAGGTCAATAGGGTCATAAGCCTTTGACTTGACATATTCAAATCTATTACGTATCAAACAAAACAAAATTAGTAATTAGCTTAGCTTTTATGAAAGTAATAAAAGAAATTGATTGTTAACACTCTAATATTATTAAACAAAAAGAAAAGTTCGAAAGTATTAACAAAACTAGAGAAAAAAAAACATGATGTCTATCATGATAAAAATTTCGTGCTTTTATTCCTCAGCTTTTCTTTTAAAGTATTGTTGTATTGCTTTAACAATATCATATACAGTGATATTTTTTAATAATTTTGAAAGACTGTCCCAAATTTTTTTAAGAAATTGACGAGCATTTTGAAGATAACCTTCAGCTTCATATTCATCATCAGTTTCATCATCAATCATGGTTGTTGTTCTAGTTGTTGACATACGTTGTTCCTAAATAAAGAAAAATTTATTTCGAAACAATTATTTGTTTTTTTCTTAAATATAATTACTAGCCAAGGTATTAGAGATGATAACATTTTACGATCTTTTGTTGAACCTTGAGTTGTTGTTTTATCAATAATCTCAGCATCAAATAAATCATTTTCATCTTCATTATAATAATCTGGTAGAATAAGTGAACGATCAGTTGATGATGACTATTATTCGAAATCAAAAACAATGAAACTGAAAAATTAACAATAAAATTTAATCTACCCTTGGTGCTGATCGTACTATACAAATAAGGACTAAAAATGTAAAGATAAGTAATATTTTCATCATAGACTATTTGATATTACTAGAATCTATATGTTAGAAAGAATTCTTTTTTTCCTGTCTATTTATATCAACATACGACAAATCAAAACTCTATGCTATTTTCTTCTTTTTGTATATTATCGAGATATAGAAGATGCGTAACATATGATGATTAGTGTTTCCAAGGATTGATGGGTACCAATATTTGTTTTTTGCGTAGTTGGTAAATAACATATTATTCATAATGTACAAAAAATATCATCAAGCATTTCATCTGTTCTTTCGAGATTTATTCATATTGTTTATATTTTGCTTTGATAATAAAGAAAATTCATTAGTAAATCTTAAAATATTTTCAATATAATATTTCTATTATTTTTTATCAAATCAATTAAGTACTTATGATTTAAATTTCGAAGATCTACTAGTTCTTGTCTTCTGAATTTGAAGTATTAGTTTTTATCTAATACACTCTCTATTTACCATAATTTGCATTCATTTATTTCAGCAAAAATAGAAACAAACAGAACGTTGAATATTATAGAAGATATATAATAAAGCCAATAATGTCATCATATAATGTATGGTAACTGAGACAAAAATAATGTTTTTTTAGAAGAAAATATGAATCATAACAATATAATAACACACAATTAACCCTCGTACTACCATTCTGGATCATTTTTGACCCATACTGAAAATTTTGAAAATATTTCTACTGTATTTTCAAATTTTTCAGTATGGATTAAAAATGATCCAGAATAGTAGTACGGGGATTAATTATAATAATGCAGTTTAATATAACTTTACAATCGATTTGGAATTTTCGATCTTGTTGACTAAGTACAGTGATCGTCATTACTAAAGACATCATGTGTCAGTGTGAATGTTATTATTTAAATTTTCTTTTAAACTTACTTATTGCTGTTACTATGGAATTAAATATTTGAGTGTTCAATTTTAATTTTAAGTCATTCATTTAAGCCTTACGAAGGAACCTGTTCAGATGCTCTCTCTCCTGAGTTCAATGGTTTTTTGCCTATAGATACTACGTAGTATTCTTATAAAAACTTATTGATATTTGACTAAGCTATAGAATTTTTTTTTCTAGAAGCTCCAAACTTTCGGAAAACTCATATTTCCGAATTTTGATCTGAAACTTTACGCATATAGACAACTCAACTAGGTTAACTTCCATAAAAAAAATCAGAAGTTCTGAACAAAGTGTCTTTTTGAGATATGCAGCATTCAAAAAATGTATGTTGTATAGACTATCCACTGGAAAGGATCTATACCTTGAAGAGACTTCATTCAAAACTTCTGAATTTTTCCTAAGGCAGCTAGTCTAGTTAAGTTCACTGTATGCACGAAGTTTCAGATCAAAATTCGAAAATACAAGTTTTCCAAAAACCTAGCATCTGTAGAAAAAAATTCGATAGCTTTGTCAAATATCAAAAGGAACTCAGTTTTTATTAGAATACTATATAGTATCTATAGGCAAAATATCATTGAAATTGGAAGGAGACAGCTGAAGAAGTTCTCTCATTATGTTTCATTGGTACATGTATATGTTTATGGATTATTTCTGGTTGCTATTTCTAGCCGTTATTGTTTGTTTTGTAATAAAAAGAAACATAAGGTAGTGTCCTGCGGAAACATTTTTTCTTGTTATTTCCGTTCTGTATCCCACAGAAATCGGAAACAGGAATGGATCCATCATAAAATCGTTTTGTTTTATGTATATAGTCTCTAAACTTTGCTTATTCAAACGAAATATATTGAAATCAATCCTATGTTTTATCGCTGAGAGATAGATTTCAACATTCTTCGAAAGACTTTTGCATTGTCTATTGGTCAAAAGAATACGAATAAATATCTATCAACAAAGATTAGATAATTTCATTCATTATTCATTAGATTGTAATTCGATTATCACAGCTATTATTTTCTTTATGATTATCACCTTTGATAGGATCATTATTCAAATTATTTCATAATATAGAATTATTAGTATCTTCTTCTCTTGCATATTTTCTTTTTTTTCATCGATATTGCTTATATGCTAGAAATTTGTCTTTTATCTCTTTTCAATTATTCAATTGATGAAAGAAATAATTCTTTTAACATAATATTTATAAATTTCGACGTATATATAAATGTACATCCAATGATAATTTTATTTTTAATTTAAGGCTGTCTCATATTGCGAAAAACGAAATCATAATAGGAACTCTGAAAGCATGACAGGAATTGAGAAAAGCTGTTCCTACACGACACTAACTTGAGGTCATAAGCGATGTCTTTAACGTTGGTGATAGTTATATTTAATAAATGGAGTAAACTATGCTCGTTTGAATGACATTATACGAAAAACATTCATGTCATTGACGAAACTCTGATTTATCTATAATGACATTTAAATAATATGAAACCGAAAATCAGTAATCAAAGACATTTTTTATTAAAGAAATTTAAAATTATAAAAATATTTTGTCTTATTTATGTTTTTGGAAGAGTGACATCTGGATTCCAAAGTTTATTTTCATAACAACAATCAATATAGTTGCTGTTGGCATGTATTGCTCCATCATGAATGAAAAATAAAGTTAAAATTTATATTTTTAACTTAATAAGTATACAGGATATTTAGTCATGTTAGAATTTCAAAGAAGTAAAAGTCATTCTCAAATGGAATAAAAATCAAAATTTAGAAAAGTTGTAAGTTATAAAGATTAAGTTTTCGAATTATCATCGACAGATTCGAACATTGATATTTTTGTATATAAAATGCGTCTCGTAACTGATGCTGATTCTTTCGAAATAGTTCTGATTCGTTATAACTTTGACGAATAGTCCTATATTATTTGTATTGGATACTTTTTTGAGGGAGCATTAAATTTCCAGAGTATTATAATTATTCGATAAAACTAGAACAGGATGCGATGATTAATATGAAATTAGTTCTGTGCTATTATAATTTGATATGTCACACGCCATAACAAAGTTTATAATTATTTTTTCCTTACATAAATAGTCTATGGTAATAATTCAGAACGGCTCTATCTTTTCTAGATTTATTTTATTAAAAAATTTTATTACTTGCAAGAAAAAGGACAGACTCATGTTAATCAGTCCTTTCATATTGTTGATATTTTCATCAGCATTCGTTTTTGGTGCTGATGAATTTGAGGATTATCGTTGTAAATGTGTTTGTCCATCATTAACTGTTTTACAAGATCCATCAGTAAATGAAACAAATCGTCATATTTATATTGATATTGTTCCACCAGATAATTGTACATGTTATCGTGTTGTATTTCATACTATAAACGCAACACAAAATTTTCAAGACCGTTTTTGTCCAAGGTAAAAATATTTCATTTCATAAAATAGGGAAATATTGGATTTTTGTTTCT